TACCAGAAAGATCACAACTTTTTTGCTCAACTGAAAGGTGCATTTGCAAAGGTAGTTTATATATATCACTGATATGCATTTATTATATTAGATGAGCATTCACAGTGCTGTATCTTTAAGTCCTCTTAGTGCTTGCAAACCCCTGCCAGGGGGCAGTATTGTATTACCAAATAATTATTTATTTATCTGCACAGTCATTCATTTATACAGTAAATGTGTACAATTGCTTTTTGGAAAAACAGATAAGAGAAAATTTGTTTTCTTATTATTGTTATCATGGTGCTGGGTGTCATTTTCACAATGAAGTGCCACGGTTTTACCAAGCACGGCATCCGCCCTTTTTGAATGCATGTAGACGTTGTGTGCCCTTGAAATGCTTGTTTATGTGTGCCAGATTATAACACTTTAGAATAAATATTTTCTCTTTCAAGAGAATGATTGTAATCCTTCCTCTGCAATTTTTTAGTCCGCTTTTCTCCTCTGACCTCCGCATGGCCTGAATCATGCGAGGGATTTACATCTGAAGCTTTCGTTGAGCACAGATTGATGGCCGTGGTATGCTGAATATTGCTGTTTATTCTTTATTGGCTTTCAGTTTAAAGGAGTTATGGCACACCTTCTGTGAGCGTGCACATGCTCACTGATGTGTCTTGGTGTAGTGATAAATAATGATTTACAGTAAATCTAGAAAATGGACGCTGTATATCTCTGCCTGGAGGGGTGTGGTGGAAGCAACACATCAGCCATGCTTACTTCACATAGGGGCTTAGTTATCTGCGCGTGAATTCACCAAATAGGAAGTGTAGCTGTGTGCTTTTAGAATTTCTAGCAACTCACAGAGGCTACATACGCTTCCGCTTGCTGTATATACGTGTCATCTCATGCAGCGATAATGTCCTGAGGGGAAACCCTTCAAACTATGATACTCTACTTTAGCTCATGGGATTATATTTCAACCTGCTGGCCAAACAGCTAAATCCGCTGAATCCGCTGAATCCACTGAATCCTTGAAAATCACACAACCTCCTTGCATCTAACAGCTGCACTTTCTGTCAAAGATAACTCAGCAGTCCAGGGAAATACAACTGGGGGTACCAAGAGCTTAGCTTCAGTTCAGGTCTGTTTAACTAGTTTCAGATTTAAAAAAACAAACAAAAAAAAGGTGTCTAGAGGCTGAATTTAAAGTGGTGACTTGAGCTAACATTAGCATGCTCACACAAGCGCGATGACAATGCTTACATGCGGGTGCTTGTTAGGAAAGATGTTTGTCACTTAAACGCATCAGCTACAAGCGTAATGGGATTTGTTAATTGGCACAAAGCACGACGTACAATTGAGGCTGATGGGAATACAGGTTGAAGAATAACATAAATTGAAACATTGACCTTATGGTGACTCTAAAAGAAAGGTCAGTAAGTTATTACATTTCAGGCTGAGGGGAACATGATTGCCTTTGAATCCATGTATTAATTGTTGAGTTATTTCGGTCTGGAACAAAGAAGTGGACCACCCGACCAGCCAACACTGCCGACCCTTAAGCCGGATCCACCAGCAAGGCAAAAAATCATCCATTATTCTCTGTATTACATTATCTTTTCATTTTACTCTGCCTGTGAAAAATAATTTCCAGTCTCCCTTATTATGTTGTCCCCTGTAGCCAATTTGTTTTTGAAAGATTACTTGTAATGCAGGCTGCTCAAAGTCCTAATTAATGAAATCGCAATTTGTAGCGACGTCCTTTTTAAATGTTAATTGTTTCTGATAAGACAGAGACCTGAATGATTCTGTTTCTGTCAGTGTGTGTGTGTGTGTGTGTGTGTGTGTGTGTGTGTGTGTGCGTGCGTGTGCGCGTGTAGCCTCTCACAATCACCGTCACGCCGATTGTGATCTGGATGCCTTTTGTGTTCAGAAAGTAAAAAAGCTATTAAGCTCCTGTTTAATTTGCAGATAGCCTGTAATTTTATGGACCAAACGAAAAGAGGGATGTTACTATGTCACTGTGTGTAAGGCCGGTGTATTGTATGCATGACGTGGTTGTGTGCATGTAGCATGACCTTGTTTTCTCTCAAGGTTACGGCCACCAGGCTGAGATCATTGTGATGGAGATGACTTGAGTCCATCACTTTGCTGCTCAGGCCTTTATTGAAGCAGTGACAGCAAATCTTTGACCTCCGGGCTGAATGCTGAGGGATTATTGTTGCAGTGGCAGTGATCTCAGGTGAAGGAGAGGCCACTGTCACCTTGTGTGACTGCAAGGTGTAGCAGATGAGGATGAGGCTAAATCCTGTTTGTAATATTAGGAGCACACTAATGGCTTGAAATGTTTCAACGGGGTTTCTCTTCTGCTCATTTCTGGACACATTATTGTGTTCTAGATAACGTCTTTGTCTACTTCCAATCTATTCTACATTGATTACAAATGTACTGAATGATCTCCAGTCACAGCCAAGAAAATTAATATAACAGAAATTTGGTTACGCTGAAATTGATATCAGCATATTTCTGTCATATAGAAAATAAAAATAATTTTCAAAGATCCTTTCAATTGCACTTGCTCTGAAATTTTTTTTTGTTGCTGAAATGATATTCTCTCAAACCAAAGAGGGAGTCAAACAAACTGTGAGACTGTACTGATGCTACGTGAAATTCAACATAAGATGATCGGATTTACTGGTCTGAAAAAGCCGCACAAACATGAAAGAAGTCATCATGCTGTGTTTACACAAACGACTATGACTACAAATGAAGAACATAAAACATCAGGGGGGCTGCATGATGCATTTCTTCTCCCTGTCACGTGCATTTGGGCTTCCCTGATATCAGACAGAATTGTCAACTTTGACTTGGTGGTGTGGGCGGATTCAAAGGTCTCCACTCAGGCAACAACTGTGATTTATTTGCCCACTGTCCTTTATCTTTCCATCCAAATACAATGATGTGATGATTGCATGAATGCTTCTTGAAATTAAATAGGGACTACAGTCCACTTTAATGTAATTAATAAACGTATTACTTTATTTAAACGTATTGCTTTTCTTTTGTCGTTAAATTATGCTCAAGTTAAAATCTTAACTTTGTTTTGAATTTGCATTTATAGTAATCATTTTCTAAAGTTATGTATCAATAAATGAATGTGAAGGTTGTAACAGCTGAAGAAAAATAGGTGAGTTGTCGTGGAATCGTGGACTAAGTACATTTCTGTTAGAAACGAAAGATTGAATGCAGTGTGTAATACAACCAATGTTTCCATATAGAGAGAATGCACCAGTTAAAACTGAGATAGCCATGTCAGCATTGCCCTTAACTCTGTTTCCTGAACGTATGCTAATTTATGAAAAAAAACTGGTATTTGCATGAGCACCGCTTCTCCTTTATCTTCAATAAGGTGCTGGAAGTATCAAAAAGCTCAAACTGGTGGAATATATTTCCACACACCCAAATCTATGCATATTGCATGTATAATGTAATAATAAAACCTACAGCATTTTCATTGGAATCCATTCAATCTTTCTATGGTTATTTCAACAACAAAACAAAATTGTCAACCTTTGGGTTAAACTTGGGGATCAATGAAGTCAGTAGGAAACACAAACTGCGAAGCATCAATGCCTGCACATCATTTCACGATGAAGGTTCATGTATGTGTGTGAGCTATTCATATATTTGGTGTTGTTTGAGCTTTGGAATGACAAAGGTGTTTGGAAGTTGAAAAGGTTTATTGCATTCAATTCAACAATCGAAGAGGTTTTCAAACCTACAACAGCACATGACCTAAAAAGAAGATAAATAATTGAGTTAGTCATCTAACTTTATATTACAGTTTTGCAGCCTGGACGCTTACAGTGGGGTGTGTTGGACAAGTCATACAGCTGGTTTGTTAGTTGAGACCTGAGTGAACTGTATGCTGGAGGGAACTGGCTGAACGTGGCTGCCCTTTAGGAATAAAACACTACATGGAGTACAGACGCTGTCAGCTTCTCTTCCCATTTGCAGCCCACATTTATTTATTTTCATAGTCACACGTGACCTTTAAAACCCCCAATCTCTTTAATATCAATTGTGATAGACAGTATATGCTGGTGCATTTGATTTGAATGCTGTAAACTCAGAGCTTTCCTTGACCCTGAGGGCATGTATATATCATTCATTTTTTTACATGCCTATCTTTCCCAATCAAACCTTAATGTCAGTTTTCAATAATAGAGAAAAGTACTAAGTGGAACAGAAGTTTTGATCGTGCATTTCCAAGAGAAACAATTTATTTTGCGTCAAACCTCTTAAAACCCTTCCTCAACCTGCATTTGGACCGAACTGCAGGAGCATTAAGATATAAATAGAAAGATATTTTCACAAAGCCAGCATTAATATTACAACACGTGCGGTAATGCAGGGAATGCGACAACAAAATGTTCAAACACACCATTTTTTAAAGCTTAATTGCACGTGGATATTGCAAAAGTTCATTATTTATGCATGAGACTCCTTCTGTGAGTGTCCTGCTTTTACTTAGCTACATTTCTTATTGAAGGCTGAATCATCCTGAACAGCATGTTGGAGTAGTATATTTGATGGGGAGGAAAGCGAAAGAAGTGATACCAACAGTTTGTAAAGCCAATTCAAACATGGCATTAAAACAAGTTTCCATCTGCTCATACAGTTATATAACATGCTGACACAGATCAGTCCACTGTGGATAATCTGCCCAAAAAGGTGGACACACAAACAGATCTCGGAGTACTCAAATTCTTCTGAATTTAGATAAAAGTTCAAATAGACCTTTACTCGTAGTGTAATAAATCATCATGGCATAAATCCCCAACTAAGAATTCCCAAATAGCAATATTATTAAATGAATAAAGCATTAAATCATATAGGGTACGGATGAAGTCTGTAGATTAATGCTAAATTCGTGGTAATTGATCTTGAAAAAAATAATCTGTCTATTAGCAATTAAAAAGTGACATATTCCTTTAAGAGAAGCCACGCCCTCTCATCTTTGCGCATGCGCAGTGTCATTCTGAGTCACGTGAAAAGCGTGGCTGCGTTCTCCTTCAGCAGCAATAGTCCGGTGAGTTTGTGTTCGGCTATTTGTACTGTCCCCCGTGTCTCTCAGCGACAGAGAACTCATCAGACTGCGGGGTTTGTCTCCGGGAGACAAACCCCGCAGTCTTCACATGGAGGAGCAGCTAGAGGGTTTGAACCCGGATGTACATATAAATCTAAAGAACTCCTGTTTCCGTTGTTGCCACATTTTTACATTTCGGTAAATCTGTTTTTGGCAGAATTGTCTTTTTTAAGTTAACATATTGATAACGTTTTTTTTAATTTGCTGATTAAACGATACGGATAATGTGCATTTGGCAAATTACTTACAACCATAAATGAGTTATGCACATTTATTTCTTGCTATACATTTTACTCATTTGTGTGTGTGTGTGTGTGTGTATATGTGTGTGTGTGTATATATATATATATATATGTATATATATATATATATATATATACACATATTTTACTTAAAGCTTACTTACTTATCACCTTACCAAATCTCATCCTTAAACTGTCTCATCAGACATTTCTTCTTGCTAATTTATGTAAACAGCAGCTAGAAGAACAGAGAAAGAAGCAAATGATTTTATTACACACAAGTGGGGCTTAACAACATGATTGATGAGGAGTAATTGATGAATGTGCACATTTTGCCATACATCACTGAGTCACTGCGGACAAATCAAGAAATGACCCAGATGAAGACGTTGATCATGTGCACATTAACTGAGGATCAGCTCTGGGGTTAATGTCCTTCTGACTATGTTGTTTAATGTAATGAATTAGAAACTGCTCAGTATTTATGCAAACTGGTAAAACTCAATGTTTCGGGACACGGTGATGTAAAATGTTTCACCATGTGGTGAATAAACAAGACTAAACGTCTCTAATTGAACCACGCGTCTCCACATTTCTCCCACAAAGCTGAAAGAAGAAAATTCTACTTATATGATTATTAAGTGATTCATAAACTCACAGTGACATAAAGCCGAATATGTGTCTTCCAAACTACAACATCACAACTTTTAATCTAACTTCATGTACTATTCATGTGTCGATAAGACACATTAGAGGAGACTTTGTGTTGTGGAAGCGTTCTAGAAATCCTCTCGATATTGCTGGTGAAGCTCCGGCCTCGTGAGGTAATCACCAGTGTTTACAATCTGCCCGGGTGCCCGAAGGCGCCGCATCATAATGAGTTGACATAAGTAATTCAACACCACTCATGCGTGTAGAGGAAAAATGAAGGGTTGCTGAGCCGGGCCTCTGTAATGTATAATTCACAGTGGAATGTTCTGTTAGCAGTTCTTAAGATTGACTGCTGTTGCCATGTGAGCAAGTCACATAAACACCGATCTGCCTGGTGGATTACATCAGAACACAAAGTGGGTGATGTATGAATCGGAACACCGCAAACTCCTCTCCGTCGTGCTTCCACAGGTGTGGAGGATGAGCTCCGGCAACGGGACCAGGAGGAAGGTCTCCCAGCCGCAGCACTTCGACGACACAGTCGACCCCGAAACGCTGATTGAGATTCAAGGTATTTTTTGTAAAATCAGAACGTATGTGAAACCTTCGGGTGGCGAGTGGTGCGTCCCCGACCCAAACGCCGCTCTAAAGCACGGCGCGGAGGAGCACCCCGCTCTGCAGGCCCTGAAGGCGTCGCTGAACGGGGTCAAGAACCAGCTCAGTGACAAGAACGTCGAGGTCTGGCATCAGCACACCAACTCCACCAATCGGGCCGGGAAGGTGATCGCTGCCGTGCGCTCCGCTGCCAACGCGGAGATCTGCACTCAGGCCTGGTGCAAGTTCTTTGAGATCCTGGGAACCTTCGACCTTCTTCCCGTGGAGGCTCTTCAGGACGGGGAGCTGAACACGGTCCACCTGTGCGAAGCTCCGGGGGCTTTTATAACCGCTCTGAACCACTACACCAAAACCAGCGAGTCCGCGCGCCACTGTGACTGGAGCTGGGCCGCCAACACTCTCAACCCGTACCACGAGGCCAACGGCAGCGGCGCCACAATCGCCGACGACCGGCTGATTGCCAACACGCTGCCCCGGTGGTTCTTTGGATCGGACAACACTGGCGACGTCATGACCCAGAAACATCTGCTGGAGCTGCAGGCGTTTGTGGCCAACATGCGCAGGGTTGACGTGGTGACGGCGGACGGCAGTTTCGACTGTCAGGAGAAGCCGGATGAGCAGGAGGCGCTGGTGGCGTCGCTGCTTTACTGCGAAGCCACCGCCGCGCTGCTGCTGCTGAGCCCCGGCGGCTCCTTCGTGCTGAAGATGTTCACCCTGTACGAGCACTCCTCCGTCTGCCTGCTCTACCTGCTGAGCTGCTGTTTCCGATCCGTCAATGTCTTCAAGCCCGCCACCAGCAAGTCGGGCAACTCCGAGGTGTACGTCGTGTGTCTGCACTACGACGGCAAGGAGGCTGTGCGGCCCCTGCTGGCGAAACTGATTCGCAACTACGGGCCACATCTGGCCGACCGAGAGGCGCTTTTCCCGAACTCGCTTGTCCCGCGGTCGTTTCTGAGGCAGCACGAAGCAGTGTGCTCGTACTTCCACGCGCTGCAGGTGGAGACCATCACGGAAAACCTGCGACTGTCTGAGGGAATGAGCGGCGAGCAGAGGCGGCGTCTCGACTACATCAGGGACCGCACGGCTCAGGAATACCTGCAGCGCTTCCAGGTAGGCCGTCTGCAGAGAACCAGCCGCCCGCAGGCTCTTTTTGACCTTTTCGAAATGGTGGCTGATCGGCAGATGGAGTTTTTATCGGCTTTAAGATTAAGCTGAACGATGTGGGGAGTGGATGGGCTCTTGGGTCCATTTTAAAGTTTTAACTTCAGTTGAATATGCAGTAGCATGCGTTTTACAATGTGTACCTGACCTGAATAGACTTCATAACACCTGAAAAATGAGCCTGGAAAGGACCAACAGCCATCTTTGGTTTGTAACAAAATGCTTGTAATGCTTGTTTGTGTTTCCTATTACAGCAAAAGATGGAGGTGCTCTTCATTTGGGTATATTTTAGATAAGCGCTTTGTTCGTACAGTAACAGAAGTATCCGTCTGTAGGTGACCTTCCTCCCACGAAGTCGATGGGTCTCTCGTAACGCGGTGACTCCCGCCTGCTGCGGCGCCTCAGCGGGCCGACCCCTGGGACAGAAGAAGCAAACGGGCTCCTTCAACGAGCGCAGGGAATTGCAGACCCTGAGCTGGAGGCAGCGCCTCCAGAGAGGTTGCCACGCAGCCTGGGTACAGACGCACTGCGCCGAGGCCTCGGGGGCCGGCTGCGCGCTAGAAGGACCCCTGTCCGGCTGTCAGGAGGATTTGTGGCACGTTGTCGTCGGAGCTGCGCTGCCCGCGGTCAGGAACTCTGCCTTCTGTGACGGAGGATTGTTGACCCACGTGAATGAAGCCCTGCTGCATACAGCGGCAGACTGGACTCGCACGCCCCCGTGCGACTTCTGCCGCGCGCTCCACCCGGCCTCCGTCCTGTCCGAGGTCGCGGGTCTTTGCGTCGACCCGGTGGAAATCGGAAAGCCGAGACGCTGTTTGGTGTTTGACAGCCGCTCAGCGTGGGACGCCTGTGAGGGCCAATCGGGGGATTTAGTCTTAACATTTCCTGCAGAGCCGCCGGCTCCTCCAGGAGGCTGCAGCACTCTGCATGACGGGGATCCGCTGTACCAGCAGCGGCTTCTGGGTTGCGTTGCGTTCTCCCTGCAGACACTGAGCTCCGGGGACGCGCTGCTGCTGCCTTTGTCTTCGGCCTTCACCCGTGTCACCGCAGCCGTTGTGCTCTGCCTGCACGCGTGTTTTCGCTCCGTCACGTTCAGGTGTCCGCCCCCCTCCGGCGGAGTCGGGGCAGTGCTCGTGTGTGCAGGTTTATGCCCTGAAGCTGCCGCACAACTGCTCCCTGTTCTCACCGATGTCCATAGCTGCATGAGTCAGATGTTAAGCGGAGAGGAGGAAACGGGTAAGAATCCTGCGTCCGGGGGTCAGAGTCAGGTGCTGCAGTTTGTTCCCATGGAGCAGCTTCTCACAGGAGAAGTAGCTGAGTTCCTGCGGACCATGAACAGGGAAATCATCCGGCAGCAGCTGCATTTTCTCATGCAATCATAGTGCAGTCGAGTGTGAAAAATTTCTGCAGGAACCACATTCAACGAGCAAATAAACTGTGGTTGAGTTGGCTCCTCCAGATTCACCTCAAGTGAACGATAATCTACTCATGTTTTGTATTTTGTCTCAGTAAAAACCATATCACAGTCAACAGCTGTCCATGACTGTTTTTTGGGGGGGGGGGCGGAGGGGTTCTTCTGCAGGTAATTTTCATCGCTCGCCTTCCCATTTGCAAGTGTTCCACCGGAGCAAGTTGCTATTCTGTAAGAGCATGTTTGCTGCATCCTGGGCAACATTGTGATTGGTGAAACGCAAACAAGCCCGAGCGTTTCCTCCCCTAAAGCAGAATGATAATGGGTGCAAGCAGAATGATAATGGGTGCAGCCAGACCTTTCTCCAGCACTGACACATTGCTGTGGCGATGTGGAGCGAGACTAAACGGGCTGTGACTCTGGGCTACATGCTACCGCCGTTCACAGTCCGTTTTATTCTCCGTGACTGTTTTTTCCAGAGGGTTAGTCGCTGAATCATTTTGATGCTGATTTCAAAAGAGGAGATTAAAACTGATTCTGCACAAGCGGAGATTGTGTCTTTTCCTCACGTTAGAACCATGTAATCTGACGCTATTACTACCGTTACAGCATAGCAGCTTTCAGAATAATATAGTACCAAAATGTACAGCTATAAAAAAATAAAAGGGATTGTGGTAAAAACAGAATTGGTGAATACCAAATTCAGCTCTTATATATTTTGTATTGATACGTTTTGACTGATTTACTACCAAGAAAACGTTTTTCCGGAGGTCCTCCGTAGATGTCTGTGCTTTTACTTGTCATGGTTTTCCTAACATGTGTTTGGCAAGAGGAATTATAAATCAAAAAGACAAGCGCCTCATTAATACTTAACATGTCATTTATTTTATTCAATTATTTTATAAATTGCGGAATCATTTATTATATTTTTCACAATTATTTACATTTAATTAGTTTTTGTTTTAGTAAACACTTATTTATTTACATGTATTTAAAAAACGAAATAAAATCAGTCAATGGTATCTACCTTACCAATGAGTCGTTAACCTCTGATGAAATAAGTCAAACCTTCACTAGTCTCAAAAGCACCTTCGTCATTGTGTTCCAACCAAATGTAAGTGTGCTACATGCAAAGCTTTTGACAACCTGCAGGCGACAACATTGTCTAATGATACAAGCTCGCAGTGCATAAAAATGCAAATTACTTTCAGCACTTGATCAGCAGAACTCATCTGTCACTGAATTCCCCGAGGAATTTAGGGAGGTTGAATAAACAATATTTCAACCCTCAGCACCAAACCTCCCGTCAGACACAGATGTTTTGCAATGAAATGCACAACACAAAGACCCTGGAGTTTTACTCTGAAGTGCTTGTTATGTCTTAACAAACATGGTGGTGGTGAATTGTCATTATACATTCAGCGTATACAGTGACTTACTGTTTAACAATTAATTTCTCTCTTTTGTGTCCAGTGACAACAACAATTACCCACATTTGAAAGGACAGGTTGCGTGCACAGAAGTGTTTTATATTGCATGAGCTGCATTTCTTGTTTCATTATTTGAGCATTTGAGACAGAAGTTCACAACAAAGCAGTAGAATTACATCTGAGCAGAGGGAGGTTCTGATTAAATTCAAAGGAATGAGCAAATGAGCTAATTAATACTCGCTTAAATTAGTTAATTTAAGCTTGTATGTAACTTAAATTAACTACGACAGAAGAAAATAATCTGCCTCTCCATGATACAAAACAAGTCATTATATTGTCCAGTATCCTCAATGTTGAACTTTCATATGCAACATGGATGCCATCAGTTGATCTTAATCATCTAAGGTGATCATATCTATGTGCAGTTAATAAAAACATTAGTAGTTAAAACATACACAGTATACAAGTCAAAAGTTTGGACACACTTTATCTTTGAATTGAATGGGAAAAAAAATGTGCCCAAACGTTTGACTTGTGCTGGACATATAATTGGTTTTAAGGCGGGATGGGAACATAAAACAAAGTCTTCCCAAAAATAAATGACTCTGGTTGTTGTCCACTGTGTTTAGTCCTGGTCAACCTCTAAAAAACACCTGTATCACACAAGAATCACCAAATGGTTTTCATTTGTAAGTTTAATACAGCCGGAGTTACTGATGTTTCCATTTTTTGCATTACAATTGAAAATAGGATCAAGAAAAACTAATATTTCACAAATCCCTCCCGTGTGTGTGTGTGTGTGTGTGTGTGTGTGTGTGTGTGTGTTTTGTGTGTGTGCTTTAGTCGTGTAATTGGGTTGTATTGTGTGCCAGAAATGTAATCTGTAATACTTCTGTTTCACCCCTTTGTGTGCTGACTGTAGTTTGATGAATAGTTCAGTGATCCTGCAGGAGGACATTTTTTCTATACAGCAGCATTTATATATCCAGCCTATAAAATGACAAAATACATCAAAAAGTAGATTAGTAATAAATGTGCACAGATCTAATTGACAGTGTAATGGTGTTCTAGTTGTGTAATTGATTTGGTCTGAGCGGATTTATTGTCTTATTGTAGTGGAGGAATGATCGCCTGTAAAGTCCTCCACTGTCCCTGCAGCAGGAGGTGAAGAGGATTTGCTTCTCCAAGACAGATGCTCATTTCTTTACTGTCCTCCTCTTTGTCACCTTTTCCATCCTGTCCAGTTTTTACACCAATGATGGAGCCGGCCTTCCTCACCAGTTTGTTCAGTCTGCTGGTGCCTCAACAGGCCACAGCGGACTGGTGAAACTCGTCTCCTCAAGAAGAAGAGTCGATCATCCCACTGGACCGCAGTCCAATCTGTAAGGGTGAAGTAATCAGACGGTGAACTTGTGAACTGCGTCTCAAGCTGAGTGCATTTCCGTGGAGAGACACCACATATTAGGAACTATATTAAAGCAGTTCACGTGGTAAATATGGTGGAAAAAAAGGCCAATGATGAATCGTATGAATAACATTAAAGGATCTTGTCAGTATGAATGTGACCAAAGAGCCACAATCTGGCCTGATATCAACGTTGTGCTGACTTGAGACTTGCACCTCTGCTCTGAAGCATAAAGGAGAGAAGACGTTGACAGATCAGGTGAAGTGAAACTTGCAAACATAAATCAGGAGAGTTGTGTTCCTCCGAGACATTCAGCTCAGTCAGTCACTTGTCTCTCTGTGATCTCTTTTCAAGAGCTGTCTTGCTTGTTAGTCTCGCTTTGTAACTACACCCGTCAATATGTGAGAGGAAAGAAAGGTTACATTAAAACAGCTTCCCTATTTTATTCATTGTTCCCTCGATCCTTTCAGGGTAGAGGCCCAATAATTGGATTTACATGGTGTTTAACAGAGCTTCTTCAGGTCTCATCTGTACTGTATTCATTTCGTTATTGCTCCAGGAGGCCAGAGGGTGACGGGTTTAAGCATTTTGTTTCAGACCTTAAGTGAAATCAAGATAGCAAGCAGCCAAGTTTATTTATTTCAATTAGTGTAATGTATATGTATGTATATGAAGTTATAGCCAAGAGCTGGCTCGCATAGCTTAGCACAACGACTGGAAATGGGAAATAACAGCTGGCATCTGAGGGAAAATAAAAGCACTGTGATTAAGACATTTTCAATTGGTTTTATAAGCATCACATCTTTGACAAACAGATGGAATTTCATTTGTGCAATACTTATATTTCCTTTCATTTTTTCCTGCCAAAGTAGACCTGTGCAGGTGCTCGGTCAGTTCTACAGTACAATACAAAGAGGTGAGGAGAAGTGAGGAAGGGAGAAGTGTCCTCTTTCTGTTTGAGCCAAGCGGGCGCCATGGCTGCATGGACTATGCTGGTGCCACATATCAGTTATAAACTATTAGAATTACATTCTTGCTCCGTATTTGAGCTGCAGCAAATCATACGTTGACCAAATGCATAACCCTTTGTAGGCATGATGTCTTATTTTTCTATCAACAGAAATGGAGCTGTGAAAGTGAAACACATCTTACATATATTCTTTTGTAAGGGCCGATGGTTCTGGACTAGTGGGGAGCGAGTCTGTTTACAGGAATAAGTGTTGAGGATGACAGCAATGTTTCGGCTCCAACATGACGAGAAACCGAGTAAATCAACACACCACTAAGCAATCTCAGAGAACATCTGTTCTCTGTCACAGCGACTCTGCAGCGATGCAAACGAGTTGCTGTCTTTCCTCCTGCAGCTGTTGTCTGACAGCAAACCCCCCTTTGTCCCTTTCACAGGCAAGAGATGGATCATCTAAAACCATAGAAGACAAATTAATCTCTGAATTAAAACACGAGATACGGGTCATGCCACATCTGGCACAACAGACACAAACAATACTTTACAATTTACCGCAATTCACATAACGGACAAGAATTTGAATGAAAATGAAAAACATTTTAGTGGTGAAGTTGCTGTCATGGCTGAGGAGACTTACAGCCTGAAGCAAAGCCGTGTGAGCTCTGCAGAACCACTCCTGTTTAAGATGAAGTTCGGCATTTTCCTGCCGTTGAAGAGGAAATGTAAAAAGGAAAAACGATCAGGAGGAAGTTAAGTAGAAATAAAAGTGTGACGATCTAATCCAACCAAAGTGTGATGGGTTTACTTGAAATAATAAGATAAAATCTTTCCTGCCCATAAACTGTGGAGGCTGCAGATAATGCTTGAAGTGATAAATATGTATTTTCTTATATTAATCCTCACGACGTTACTGAAAGTCAATACACAGTCGGAAAAATCTTTGGGAGGGAAGAACGAATCAACCCAACTTTCATTTACAGTGAAGGCTTTTGTTTTTAGTCCTTCGCGAGGTTCTTGATTCAGCTCGGTTGTCTGCTGGGGCAAATTAAAATCTCGCCGGATGAGAGAAGAAGGATCCAGGGTCACAAATCTTTTATTGCGGCAGGTGTTTTTCCCTCATAAACAACAACAACCAATTAACCTCTGACGCCCGGCCCGAATTGAAGTGTCAATCTTGTCGATTCTTGGAAATACTGCAGTTTAGTTGCTGTTCTAATGGCTCGTTTCATGGCTCCAGTATGTAAATCATTCCCGATTGTCTCAGATTTATTGCCAAAGGACAATGGTTCTGTTTTGGCTTCTGAAAATGCTAATCAG